ATATGTCTCTGACCTCCATTGCTTCTGATGAGCATTAACTCTTACTCTTACCGTATTTATAAGTGATGAGTCGTTTCTCTCTTACTACTGCTAAGGGTTTCTCCCTGTCTGTAAAACATTTTGACTACGATGTGTGAGTTTGTGGATCTCTGTGTTTTCTGCTTTGACTTTCTTGAACATTTTGCATGTATAGATTATTATTTTCCAATACATTTGGAAAATTTTCAGCTATTCAAAAATTTTTCCTTCTCCTGTTTCTCTTCCTCCTCTTACACGTATTGGCGTGCTTACTGGTGTCTCGCATTTCTCTGAAGCTGTGTTCATTTTTCTTCACTTTTTCTTACTGTCCTTTGGATTGGATAATCTCTGCTGATCTATTTTCAAGTTTACCAGTTCTTTCCTCTGCCAGTTCAAATGGATTGTTGAACCCCTCTAGTGAAGTTTTCATTTCAGTTATTTTTCAATTACAGAATTTCTTTTTGGGTTTTTGAGAATAATTTCTGTTTATTCATATTGTTTATTTGGTGCAACATTGTCATCAGACATTCCTTTGGTTCTTTAATCGTGGTTTCATTTAGTTCTTTGAGCATATGTGTAATGGCCAATTTGTCTTTTTCTGTTAAATCTAACGTCTGGTCCTTTCACAGGCAGTTAATTGCCTTATTTCTAATGGGTTGTACTTTCCGGTTTCTTTGTATGCCTTGTAACCTCTTGTTGGAAATTGGACGTTTTAGATAATATTTTGTGTCAACTCTGGGTGCTGGTCTCTCCACTTCCCCACCCTGAGCCTGTTGTTTGTTATTTGCTTGTTTACCTGTTTGGTGACTGGCTAGGTTTTAAGTAAAGCCTGTTCCCTTCCCCTACATCTGGGCAATGTGAAGCTTCTGATGTTACCCTACAGGGGCCACAGCCTTGGGCATGCCCATGGTCATCCTGGGACAGTGGTGGTTTGGCTGGCCTCTTTCTCACTACCTCTTGATTTGATCACACCTTCAACTGTGCCCTGGGGCATAATTTGCAAAAATTTTTAATGATTAAAAATGGCTAGAAATTTCCTTGTATATGAAACTTCAGTATTTTAAAATGTCATGTCAGGAATCTTTGAAAGAAACAAGTTGTTTCAGTATTTGAGTATCTGTATGTGTCAGTTTTAATTTAATAAGACTAAATCCATGGTGTCTCCCTCACAGATGATGACTTTGACCAGTTTGATAAGCCTGGTGCAGAGCGGTCCTGGCGGAGAAGAGCTGCAGACGAAGACTGGGACAGGTATGGAGGGTCCGTGCTGACTCCTGTCATTCTGCCGCTTGGCCATGCAGAGGTCTTTACCGACAGCAGTGTGTTGCTACTGATGCTCTTTCCTGAGCAGGCCTGTCCCTCCTGGGCTAACATGGGGCAAGGACAGGCGCTCTAGGCGGAGGGCTTTGTGGTGGGCTCCAGGTCCAGGCCTGTGCTGTGTACATGGCTGCCAGTGGAGCCCTGGGTGTCTTGTCTCTGTGCTTTTATAGTGATGGCGTTAACTTGCTGGGCGCCCGAGCTGCCGTTGGAGGAGTGTGCCTGCAGCAGCAGCAGTGGGGTTTCCTTTTGTCCATGTCTTACACAGTATTTGGCTGCACCTTAACATTTTTGCTATTTTAGTATGTGTAAAACTGTATCTCATTGTGATGTAAATTTGTGTTTCTCTGTTTACTAGTGAAGATGAAAATACCTGTTTAGGAATAAACACACAAACAGTATAAAAACGCCCACAGCAGTGGGAGATGTCAGTTCGGCGCAGCGACTGCTGCTGCGAGGGCTGTGGCAGGGGTGGGAGGGCCTGCGCAGGGGGTGGTGGGGTGCCGAGGGCGTCACCTGCGCGTTCCTTCTCAGGTGACGATTATTTGGTGCCTGTTTCTTACCATCTTAAGCATTATGTTGAAAATGTAAACATTACCTTGGAGTTGCAGTCAGGAAGTTTAGTCATAAAGGTAAGTAGATCTGAATAAGGAACAACACTGAGAAACTGCTGTAGAAAGAGAGAATACCTGGCGCTGTTTGAAGACTGTGATGTCCCAGAAGTTTTACTGAGAAACCTACATTAAAGACTATGTAGTTCTCACAGCCTGCGTGAAACTGTGTGCTCTTCAGTGATTCTTAGGCAGTCTATGAAAAATTAGAGCTCGGAACAAGTCTCCTATAAGAGAAATGGTCCTAGTGAGAAGCACTGACAACTAGTTTTCTGTAAAGGCCTCTGGTAGGGAGCTGAAAAAATCTTAAGTGTATTTTTGTAGTTTCTTCACCGTTTGGATTTTCTTGTCTGTCAGTCATCTGTTCGTATTAATGTCTGTTTTCCTTTTGGGTTTTTCTTTTCCTTATTGGTTTTAGGGATTCTTTATGGTTTCTGTTTATTCTTTGTAATTAAAATATGAAAAAAGCGTATTTGAAAATCATTTCAGACTTACCGGAAAGTTGCAGGAATGACACAGAAACTCTCACGTGCCCTCTCTCTGACAGCTGCTTTCTGTCATTCACATCCTTCTCTCACTCTTTACCCCCCGAACTTTTCTTTTGTTTCTCCACCATTTGACAGTAGTTTGCAGGTGTCATGCCACTTCTAAATCTATCCAGGTTCTGTCAGTGGCCCCAGTAATGACCTTTTTAGTCAAAAAATGAGTTTCCTGTTTTTTCTGGTTCAGGATTGAATTCAGAATCATATGTTGCATTCCCTGCTACCCCCCCTTGGTTTTTTCACCTGGAAGAATTCAGCAGCCTTTGTCTTTTATGACTTCGACATTTTTGAAGCGTACACCTCATTTGTTTTGTAGACCAACCCTCAGTCTTGGTAGTGTCTCCTCAGGACTGGGGTCAAGTTATTATGCATTTGGTTAGGAGTGCTCCTGGTGATGCTGTGGCCTTCCTGAGGGCATCTCTTCAGGAGACATGTGATGTCAGCCAGGCTGCTTTCTGCTTGTCCTTAAGAAGTTCTTCCCTGCCTGTATTCTGGTGTGTCCTCTATGTTCCTATGAAAGTTAGGCACATAATCCGCCTGAAATTGATTCAATTGATTGATTTTTTTAGTTTATTGAGAATTTCAAGCGTATGTGAAAGTAAAATAGTACAGTGCAGGTAATGTGCCATCCTTCATCGTCAGCAGTGTCAGTGTGTAGCCAGTCTTGTATTACCTGTAACCTCTGCAGCCCTCTTCAAATCCCAGGCGTATTTCATCGGAAAATGTTTCAGATTATATCTCTCTAAAAAATAAAGGATTTACAAATATAGCCATAAGAGTTATATCTTAAAAAGTCCCTTAATATGAATGTCTCGTTAATGTTCACATTTCCCTTATTGTCTTGTATGTATATTACAAACATACCCACACACACATACAGTGTGGGTATGTGTCTGTGTGCTCTTTTGTAGTTTGCACTGGAGTCTGGGTAAAAGCTACACATAATTGATTGATATATTTTTTAAGTATCATTTCATCTGTATGTTCTCCCCACAGTTTTTATTAGTTCTCTGAAATTTTTGTTGAAGAAACAAGGGGTTTATCTTGTAGAATTTCTGCTTTTGCTGATTGCATCTCCTGGAGTGTGTTTAGTATGTTCCTCTTACATTTTCTGTAAATTAATAGTTAGAGCTAGAGGTTGATTAGATTCAGGTTTGAATTTGGGCAGGAATAGGGGCTCGGCAGTGTCTTAGTTGGTGGTATGTTCCCCCACCGGGAGCTGCACAGGGTCTCGTTGACTTTTTGTGATGTTAGCCATTAGATGGTCCGAGTGGTGACATCCTGATTCTGTCTTGCCTTGTTAGCTGTGATCCTTCTGTAAACTTCTTGGTTCCTCTGAGGTACAGCATAAGTGCTTCATTCTTTTACTTTTATTTACCAGTTTTCAAAATAGTGGGTCATTTCCTTAACATCCTCCAGAGGTGAGTTTTTTTTCTGAATCATTCTGAATTCATAGAGTTAAGTACTGCATGTGTTTTTTATACTATCCATTATAGTTACTATTCTTATGTTTGAATTGCCCTAGTGTTTGTTCATTGGGAATTTACTCTGGCTGTCATGACATTAGTTGGCTCTCTGCTGTGATGGAATTGGGTTTTGGTTACCTTCTGAGACAGGGTTCTAATTTTTCTTGTGTGAATAGCACTTGTCCAGTGTTGTTTATGAACGTTCTCCTTTCTTCACTCATCTTCAGTGCATGTTTGCATATGAAGATTCTGTGTCGTGGATATTTCTTTATTTGATACTCTTAAAGCATAAAACTGCCTCTTCCGTGTACTGGATAATAGAGGGACCATTTTGAAAGTTGGGAAGAGTGAGTCAGGAAACTAATCAGACTGTATCTAGGTAGGAAAGAGATAGCCTATTCAGAATGTTTTAACTGAAGATCATTTGATGAAGGATTTCTGTTTTATTTGTGAGAAGACCTGCTTCTGATCACTTTATAACGTAAATACGCTGAAAAAAAATGCAGACAACTGACATGACTTCTATGTTATATGAAGATAATTCCCTTAGTAATGATTTACTTGAATGTCTTCATCAGCATTGATTTTTCATTTTTTAATTTTTTCAGTTTGATGAGTGTCAAATGGTCTTTCAGTGGTTTTGATTTTAAATTTTCCTAGTTAATGATGTTGGGCATCTGTCTTCTCCTATCTCATCATAGATTTTAAAACACAAGAGAAAGCATAGGTATTACTTATTATAGTTTCTTCTTTTGCTGAATAATGAACAAGTCCAAAGAAATTAAGATCTCATATTGAGATGAAAAACTAAGATTAAAAGTCTAGTGAGAGCCAACTCCTGTAGCAAAACCTCACATACTTAAAGGGCCAGATGTTCCCTAATATTTGAAAATATGTTTTTCATTATTAAGAAAGATAAAGGAAGGTATAGCAAACTTAACGTGAAAGTACCCAAACCCTAAAGTCCTGGGTACATTTCCCAGTAATCTACAAACTTGCCAGTGTAGTAGGAATAATGCATTGTCTCTTTTTTTCCACAGTGAACTTGAAGACGACTTACTTGGAGAAGATTTGCTGTCTGGCAAAAAGGTAAGAAATACAGGTCTTCCTGAAATTAAATGATAGTCTTTTAATTGCACTTAAAATATAGGAATATGTCTCATGCTTGGGATGTGTTACTGGAAAGTTGGGTATAGATCAAAATTTTGTGAATTGAATTACTCTTTAAATGCACAAAGAGTTGACTGTTTATTAGTAAATTCTCTGATAACTTACAATTCAGGGACTATATCCTTGAAGCGAATATTTTAGTCCCTCCTGTGTATGTCAAGGCATTCTAGCAGCTATTGAGCTTATGAAAACAGTTAACAAAACTACCACTTGTCCTGGAGGAACTTAATATTTGGTGGTTAGTATTTTGCATACTGAAAACAAAATATTTTGCATACTGGATCTGGAATTCACTTTTTTGGAGTATTCAGAGATAAGCTTAAAAATAAATATACTCAAATATAACACACATTACATAAATAAGAATAAAAGTGTAAAACTTAATGTAGGAGTTTCTAAACTTTTGATCAAGTAAAAACTTTGAAGTAGTTACTTCTAGTGTGTGTATATCTATTTCTGTATTGTGTATGTATGTATATATATCATTCTACCAATATGTTTTGAATGTTATGAAGTATACATTAAAAATAGAAATAAAAAGTTAAAGATTAAAGTGAAATACTGGATTTTTATTTTATTAACAGTTTAAAGGCACTTGTTATTCACATTCAATATCAAGATAGTTTTTTATGCTTAGTTTTTAAAGACTTCAGATTGTGCTGGCTAGTTTGTCAGCCGTTACACTCAAGCTCATTATACTCTTAGGTGACTGGGTCACACCAGCTGTCTGCTTTATCGCTCTTGTTAGATTCTCCTTTCAGCCTTACAGCTGATGAAGACCCAGCACTAGGAGTGCTGCTTCTGCCACTGTCCTGTAACTTCCCGTGCCGCATTATTACCATTTGCTCTAATCCATGAATTTGTTGTGGCCACTCTCTTTTCTGTGTCCTGTTTCTTACTGCACCATCGACCTGCAGGTGTCCTGGCTTTGGCCTGTCACAGCCTTTCCTCCCTTAAGTGGCTCTGTCATCACCTGTATCGCTAGATAAGAATTAGTTCAGTTACCTGTAAACCCACTTGATCTCATACAAGTAAATGTGGATACATCGGAGTGACTGGAAGCAGAAAACCAGTGAGAATTCCCCGCAGCCTGTCCGTGTTGAGCTCATGCTCTGGCCTTAGAGTGCCACAGACGTGCTATGATTCAGTGTGCCAGGGCCAGTCCTTCCTGTGTCATGGTCACAGAGGAAATGAGGAAATGTTTCTTTCTGGCTCAGTGAGTTAGTCTGCACATCCTTGAAGTGCACTCACTGCCCTTGAGAGTCTACTACCCTAATGTAGACACGTTGTTTCCACTGTAATTATTTAAGATGCTTTAGTGAGGAGTACCAGTTAGATGTTAAAATGTTTAATTATTGTAAAATTTTTTTACATGAAGTTGGATTTCTACCTTTGGGCAAGCCTGATGTATCTAGTTTGCCCTGTGTTTCTCTCAGGGAGCCCCATGAGCCCTACTGATTTCACGAGTCTTCATGGTCACTTGCTCTTTTTTTGCCCTGCTTCCTGCACACCACCTCAGGCAGACTCCTCCTCAGCTGTCCTACCCTTGCCTGAGGAATTACTTCCCACTAATTCATTGGATGTAGTCGTAGAAAGTCAGTTTTGGCCTCAGGGATTTAGTCTGACTCTGCATCCCAGCTTTATCAGTAAAGTGGGTATTTTGGTCATTTTGATCATTATTTTGTGCCTCCCGTGTTTGTTACTCATCAGGTTCAGAACTGACACAGGAAGTTGAATCCTCAGAACTCAAAAAAAGTAAGATTTGATTGCCATCAGGGCCACCACAACATATATCCTCTATTTTGTTTGTTTGGTGTGTTATTTATTGGTTCACTGATTTTTGACAAATATTTAAAAGTTGAACCAAAAAACTCAAGGAAGTAGCCTTTAATGAATGAAATCTGGCTTTTATTGAATTGTTAATTTTTAAAGACTTCCTGTGTTTTTATTTAATGAATTAAGCAGCTAAATTTAGATTGTCCTGTAGCAGGCCTGGCTCATCCCTGCCGATGGATAACAGATTCTGTTGGCAACTAATAAGAACTACTAATAAGATTGATATTTTTAGCTTACATCAAAACTGCTGTAATGAAGAGTATATATAGACCTGTTTTTTGAAATTTAGTTTTATAAGCTATAAAATGCCAGGAAAAGACTGCTTATTTGTTTCTTTCATCTTTAAGTAGAAACACAAGTTTTTTTCTTTCTTTTTTTTCCCCTTATGTGTGTGTTGGGGGTAGGGAAGTGGTAATTTATACGTATCACAGAAATAATTTTAATAGAGGAGGAAGGTGTAAAGCCCTCACTACCCTTAAATCTAAGGTACTGGTGTGTATTTAACTTAACAGAACTTGGAACTGTAGAAATTTGACCAGTTGTCAAAATCACTAGGCTGCCTCTGCCGACTGACGTGATGAGTGCACAAACCTGTCAGGAACAAGAGTGGGGTCTAACTTAGTCAGAGTCATTTTCATGTGTCATCTATACTGGACAAGCCAAAGTTTTATTTTAGTCCCTTACCATTTCAGTGGGGCAATCCAGTTACCTAAAATCTGCCTGTTTCTAAAATTCCACTATTTTTTTTGTTTGTTTAAAACATCTTTAGATTTTTGAGCACTGACAGTATTAAATTTAGTCAAATCTTAAGGATACCATTTTTTTGTGTGTATGATAAGAAAAATTATTTGGTAGGAAAGCCTTTTTTTTTTTCTTTTTCTTTTGTTAGGATCATTATACTTGCTGCTTCTATACTTATTTGACTGTGCATCTAAAAATTTGTCTGAGGTAGTTAGCTAGTATGCCATATGTGGAATCTTTTCTTTCTTTTTATTATTTTTTTTAAGTTGTTTTTGTTGTTGTTAGTGGAAGTACTGGGGATTGAACCCAGGACCTGTGCATGCTAAGAACGCACTTTACCACTGAGCTATGCCCTCCGCCTATATGTGGAATCTTGACTTTTGGCTGGTTATATCAAACTGAGAAAACTTTCTGAATGGCAAATGTTCTAATAACAAGGTTAGAAAGAATCCAGTCAGCGTAATTGTGCACTTTTGTAACAAGTAACAACATGTAGAAGTGACTTGCATTAATTACATTTCTTATTTTAATTAGAATCAGTCGGATTTGTCAGATGAAGAGTTGAATGATGATCTTTTACAGAGCGATAATGAAGACGAAGAAAATTTCAGGTACTCAGTATTAGCTCATTAAAATGTTCTTTAAATTGATAGTAACTATAAATTATAATTATAATGGGATATAATTGATAATGTGGTACTGTATCTTTAACATATGATTATATTCTAAACGGGGTATTAATGTAATTCTTCAGTGTGGAAGCCATATATATTTTCCTATAGATAGATCAACTGTTTAAACTCAGTACTGGTCTTGTATTTAATGACCTCTGTGAGCTCTGTTGTGTACAGGTACGTACAGGTCTTTTAAAGAATTCCTTTGTTTGAATAGGGGGCAGTGGCCTCAGACTCTTGATACTGTTGGTTGCTGTTTGATGTTACTGCTTTTGTTTTCATTTTAGATAGTTTTTATTTATACTTAATCTGTTAAGTGAATTGTCATTTTGGCAATTCTTTTTGACTACTTTAGACTCTAGCTGACTATCTGAATATAATTGTTTTTGTCTGCTTGGGCTGCAATAACAAAATATCATAAACTGGATAACTTACAAACAACAGAAATTTATATTTATTTCTCACAGTTCTGGAGGCTGGGAGTCCAAGGCCAAGGTGCTAGCGTGGCTGGGTTCTGGTGAAGACCCCCAGCCCTCCCACTGTGTGCTCCAGTGGTGGGAGGTGTCAGGAAGCCATCTTGGGTCCCTTTTCTGAGGTCACTAATCCCATTCACAAGGTTCTGCTCTCATGACCTGGGCCCCTCCCCAAATCACCTCCAGACACCGTCACATTGGATATTAGGATTCAGTACATGAATTTTGCGGGGGACACACACATACTCAGTCCACGGCAATGACGACTGTCTTTCTGTTGTTGACACAGTAAGCTCTGTTATCGAAGAGGAAGGGGTATTTCGTGTACTGTTAGGCAGAATAAGTTTTTCAGTTTTATGAGGAAGCATTTATTGTGAAAATGTAAAGAGACACTTCTTGCTTATAAATGTAATTAACAAATATATGCCATTATTGAGCTGTTGTAGATTTGTTGTAATAGGTTTTCTAACATAGAGTAACTTTTATGGATAAAAATAAGTTTTAAATTAATTTATTCTATCAGTTTAAGTTTCTCTGTTCCATTCTCTGACATCATTATTATACTTTGATCTTTTGACTTATTCAAATTGCCCTTGAACTATACCTTTGAAAAAAATTTTTGGGCTGTATAGTATTTTCAAGTCTATATGGCATACTCAGTTTTTTATTAGGATTAGATACTAATATGTGTAACTTAGATTTATCTACAAAACCTTGCATTTTAAGTGCTGTTATCTTGCCTCCTAATTATTTGGCATTTAGCTGTTGTTATTTAATAGGTGGAATATGATTTTTTTGCAGTTTTAAACCATCTTTATTTTACTCAGAAATTAACTTTTTAAAAATTTTTTTTTTTTTTTCATTTTGGGGGTTAGGTAATTAGACTTTATTTATTTATTCATTTTTTTTTTAATGGAGGTACTGGGGATTGAACCCAGGACCTTGTACATGCTAAGCATGCACTCTACCACTGAGGTATACCCCAAACTGCTTTAAAAAATTTTTTTATTTTCGGGGGGAGGTAGTTAGGTTTATTTACTTATTTATTTTAACGGAGGTACTGGGGACTGAGCTCTGAGCTTCCCCCAGAAATTAACTTCTTTTTTTTTGAAATTTGTGACTAGTACAAACTTTAGTCAAACACTGGAATGTATTTTCACACAGATTTTTAATATTTTGATTTTTTAAATAGGAGTTTATAGTTTGCACCACAGATTTAAAAAAGAAAACAGATTGCTCTTAAAATTCCATCTGTGGTTTTCTGTTTATAGGTTAATACTCCTATTTTTCCTTTGAGATCTTAGAAAACAGGTGCCGCCCTCGTCATTCTGAAAGTCGCAGTGGGACGGCATCGGCTTGCTCTCAGTCTCAGGCTTTCGCCGGTTAGACCTGCCTCCCGTGGCGGAGCCGGCCGTCCTGCTCAGATAGCCTGCAGCCGGCGGCGGTGGGGGTCCTGTGCGCCGAGAGGAGTCCCCGGTGCTGGCTTAGTGTGCAGCGCACTGAGCTCTGCCTTTGCGCGTTGTGGTAGTCCGTGTGCGTCGGTCGGTCTCTGGCCTACCTTTGCCAGTTTTTGCAACAGTTAATTTATGTAATGATTTAGTTTGGAGCTCTACTCCAGTGGTGGGCCTTCCTTTGTATTTCTGTTCTCTCTAGTTCTCAGGGTGTCACAATTAGTCTGAACACCACATCTGGCATGGTCACATCGTTTGAACTGTCTGACAACACTAATGACCAGTCTGGAGAACAAGAATCCGAGTACGAGCAAGGAGAGGATGAACTCGTTTATCACAAGTCCGACGGGTCTGAGTTGTATGCTCACGAGTACGCGGAAGAAGGACAGTATGAAGGCCACGGCGCTGAGCTGACGGAAGAGCACATGGAGTATGTGGACGAGCCGGAGGAGGGGCAACTGTACAGCGACGAGGTGTTAGACATCGAGATCAATGAGCCTTTAGATGAGTTCACAGTGAGTCTTCCTCCTTTGTGTGGCTAAAGATAACGTGGCTGCCTGGGCATAGGTTTCCAGACTGATTTGAAATCTATTTCTCTCCCCTGGGAGGGAGGGAAATTAGACCTTATTATCACTGTCTGCCAGTTTCTTTATCTGAGCTATGACAAAGTTTGTGTTGACAGCTTGTTTGGCTGGAGGTAATGCTCCTTTGTCATTCTGGAAGGCTGCGCAGAATTGTGACCTTGAGGATTGCACCCTAAGGAAGAAAACAGCTTTGTGTGGTGGAGATACACTGTGAATTGTTAGAAGTACTTAATGCAGAGCTTTTATCCAGGCTTTAGACAAGATCTGATAAAGTCCTTCTAAGGTGAAAAGATTATTGACCTGCTAAAGACATCTTTAAGGTGCTAATATTCCAAAGTGATTGATGTCCTGTTCATTCATCCTTTTTTGTAACTGAGAACTGTCTAAACATGAATAAAGAGATTGGAGGTTAGTTTAGGAAATGTCACACATAATTTGTTATCTGTAATCAGGAAGCAAAGATTGTGCTGATTTTTATTTCAGAAAGGTGGTTCTGGTAGGTAGTTTTTTTTTTTTTTTTTTTTTTAGGTTGAATTGTCAAGGAAAAAAGGTGCTGGTGAAATACTGCTCATCTGTCTTGATTCATTATTAAAAGACATTTGTTTTTAAAACAAGCCTTTAATGAATTTATGTTGGAAGGATGTGATCTCCGTAGCTGCAGTAGAATTTTGGGGTTTTCTGGACACTGGGCTTCACTGAGGTGAAGTATCAGTGGGGCTGCTGGGATGGGGTGAAGGCACGCAGAGTTAGGGTTAGAGAGCTACCTTTATCTCTTAATGTTTTCATTCAGAGTAAGCTTGCATTTCAGAAAAAAAATATGTGTGTATGGTTTTGAAAGGGATTAGTTGTTTATGTGGAGCCTTAGAATACTTGGTTCTAGACACAGATGTGTTTGTGCATGTCAATGGTTATTTTTAAGATTTGATTCCTTTTGAATGCTTTCTCTTCAGTAGATACAGTAATGAAAAGTGTTTGTAGCTTTGGTAAACAGAATCATGTAAAAGGCATTGGTACTTGTTCTTTTGATAACTCTGTAATGGTCTGTTTTGGTAGTAAATCCTTCAGTAGTGTGGACAGGTGCTGTCTGGCATACTGGTGTGTTTGTATGCTATGTTAAAGTGGGACACTATAATTTAAAATGTTTCCTAAAAATTAAGCCAGAATTCTTTAAAAATGGGCCTGGTTATTCCCTGATAAGAGCATTTTATTATTTCTACCACTCACCTGAAAAGTAAGGTGGTTGGTCAACATCTTGTACATTCAACAGCTCAACAGATATGTACCAGCCCAAGCGGTGGGCACGTAAATATTGCTGAAACATGAGACATGAAGCATGGCCCCTGCTTTCTGTGAACTTGGAATTTAGTGGAACAAGTCACAGTGTGGAAAGGGCTTGATAGTGCTTGTGTGTGGTCATGTAAGAAGACCACACATGGGAAGAGATAAATGGACTTAAGCTGTGAAATACTTTTCCCCAGCTCTGCAGTGCAGGCTTCTTACTGTCCTCTTAGGCTGTCACTGATGCACACGTTATTCATTATTAGACTAACGAACATATGATTAGATTGTATCTCCACATGTCCCAGTGGTATTTTCATTTATTAAATGGTTTATGTGGTTCGTGTCCTCATTAGGACTTGTTAACTCTAAAGCTAGAGTTGAACGCTGCTGATCAGAAGTATGTTCTACCTGCTCGAGCTCACTCATAAGGCCACAAGGAGGGATTCTGTGTATAACTGAGCGTAGAATCATAAAGCCACAGAAGTTTACGATGGGAAGGGACACTTTTACATGAGAAGAAACCGAGATCCACATAAAAACTTGGTAGTATAACTCTGGTGTTCTTTCCTATCATACTCGAAAGAAGATTTTTAAGTTTTTTTGAATTTTGTTGTCCTGATCTTGAGAGTGAATTAGGATTTGATATAAAAACGTATATTCTTCTGTTAGGAAGGAATGTACATTGTTTATTATTTAGCAGAATCGTAGAGCATTGTTTGTCAGGTGATTTGTACTTTTGAGCACAATCATATTTATTTAGGGCCTTTAAAGTTAACATAGACTGAGATTTCATAAAACATTGTTCTGTAAGAACAGTTTCAGATTGCTAATTTACGGAACAGCAGATTTCTGCTTCCCAGCGGGGATTTGGTGGTGTAGACTAGGCTCCGTTGTGTACTGGCTGAAGGTTTTGATTCACATCACCTGACCTTATTTGAAATCCGACAGTTCTGCTCTCAGTGAATTATGGGTAGTGCTGGTGGCTCTTTCTGATAGGATGGTACAGTGTCTTGGGAAGTGAAACCCAGTGTGTGTGGCTACTCTGGAGGGACAGTTGTGGGAACTGAGGTGCTCTGTCACCTTAAATGCAGCTGTTTTCTTTGTAGTGAGACTGGTGTGTGTTCTCAGCAGGTCGTTCGCTCTTCCTTGCCCACCTCGTAACTGATCATTTCAGCTAGTGGCTGGGGCTGCTGGGACATTCAGCCCCCCGGGTAGCATCAGGCCCTGTCACTTGTTAGGAGTGCCCGTGGGAGCCCTTTCTCTTGCAGTTGTTGTTTTTAGCCAGCTTGCTTGCTTCCTTCCGTATGCCCTCAAGAGATGCCTGCCTGCTGATGTGCCCCTTGCATTTCATACATTCCTGGAATCATCCTTCTAACTGGATGGGGTGGCTAATGGAGAAGTGAATTCTAGCATGTGATTTTTAATAAAGCTCCTTCGTTGAATTGAATTGCTTGTACTTTTGTTGTCTTCTGTTGCTGTGAAAATGGTTTGATTGGGCATGATTCCAGCCCCCTTACTGCTGCTGAGCTGCTCTGGGCAAGTGTACGCACACTAGCTTTTTGAGATTATTTTCCCTTACAGTTGATTTTAAGAAGAGCTGTTTGTCAGAGCTCTTAGGGGAGCTGGAAGCTGAGCCTGTGTCGCTCACTGCAGCGACCGGGTTGGCATACTGCGCTCCGCTCTCGCGGCCACTCGGGAGGCCTCCTCCGGGGGTGTGCTTAGTGCTGTCCACTCCGTCTGGTAATTGCCAAAGGAAAAACTCGCTAACATAACTAAGCATGAGTCATGAAGATGAACAGTGCTTAAACCCCCCAAGCTCTAGGAGGAAAACTTACTTTCTCTTTAATGGCTGTTAGGATGAAGAATACTTGCAGGCTTGTGGGCAGCAAGGGATGAAAGAGCAGGAAGACTGTGTTGCTGAAGCGGAATTAGATGAGATAACTGATTTCCAGGTTGCTCCTGAAACTGAAGAGGTATTTGTTCATCTTTTAAAGAGTCCAAAAGTTTGTGGTTTTTTTTTTCTTCCAGATTTAAAACGAGCCTCTTTTTAGTGTTAGTGAGAAGTTCATACATCTCTTCTTTGAAGTGTGAGTGCAGTAAAAAAACAAAAAACAGAAAATGCCCCTGAGCTTTCTAGTCTTTGGGCAGTGAGTTCTGCTGAGCTGTGATTTCCAGATAGCTGTTTGCCCTTTGAGTGTTAGAATGTTTTAAATGTTTTATGGGGATGTGCCTAGAAATCTTTCAGAATGTGAAGCATATGTTAGTGCTTTGGAAGGAGTGCTGTGATTATTTTAAATTAATTATTATTAATTAATTTTGAGCATTATTTCAAAAATACTGCGAAGTTCCCTCTATTTAGGTGCTGTGTTAGGTGCTGAAGAAACAAGGATAATTGAGAAGCTTGGTTCTTATGCTCAAAGAACTTGAAGCCTAATAGAGGAGAGAGAAAATGTGGGCCAATTCCAGTGATGTGAACGTAGAAATAGAGCCTCCCAGAAGAGAGGCTGCGGTGCATGCTGTAGGAGCTCGCAGAGGCCTCTCTGGTCAGGTGTGCGTCTGGAGGCGGTGTGGGGGAGGGCGGGGGCGCTGAGATTTTATGGAGGAGACCTCCCCCGTGAGGCAGGTCTGGGACAACGGACGCCATTGGGACGCCATTGGGACGCCATTGGGACTTGCAGAGCTGTGGCGTGAGGTGCAGGCTCACAGGTTCTTGGAACTTGTCCCGCGGGCCAGCCTGTGGCCGTAGAATCGTTCCATGGCCTTAGGACTTGCTGGTTTAATTTTTTTTCTCATTATTTATGTTTTTTTTCTAAATTATTTTCCTTAATACTTTTTTCTTTCTTTTTCTCAAGAAATCATGAGAAGTGGTATTTCCCTGGCTTAGGTTATTTACTTTAGGTCTTACCCCAAAGTCTTAGAAACTCAGTATACAGAACACTTTATTTACCCTTGTCCGCCTAATGCAGCGCTGTGACAGCACGTGAGCACGTGTGCCATGTGCAGGCACTTTCTGGGGCACATCCTTGCTCTTCCCCAACAAGCTAAATTTGTTTTTTTTTTTCTTGCTTTCTCTCTGTCTCGCTCTTACTCTTTGAAATAATTTGAGCTTAGAGAAAAGATAGAAGAATAGTAGAAAGAGCCCTTTGCCCACATTCTCCAGTTGTAGACAAATATATTTAGCCCAAGGAACCAAGACAAAGCTGAAGAAGACTTGAATGAGAAGTGGTTTCCCTGTCGGTGACGGCTCTGTGCTGACTGAGTGGTCGGCCCCTGCACCGAGGTTCGGGGAGACCGTGACCTCCTCTGCGCTCTGCCCAGGGAAAAGCCAGCACAAGCCTAGGTCAGACCTGGGAAAGGGTGATCTGGGCGAAAGGCGTCAGAGAGAGAAGTCTAAGAAGCCGTCAAAGGAGGGTGTGTGGGTGGGTAGCGGGGCAGCAGAGGGAGCTGTGAAGAGTGTTCTGGGAGTGAGTGGTAGAGAGGGAAATGGAGGAACCCAGCACCCGTTAATTAGTTCGTGTCCTATGAGTTTGTGGTATTTTGTAGTTGGAAAATTAATTTCATTGGTTTCCCCCCATAGTTTATTCTTTGAGTATTTCAGGTGATAATTGTCCTTACTCTGATAATGTGTTGTGTTTGTAGCATTTTTAGAATGAGAAAAGATTTTGTAGATTTTAATCCTTAAGTGCTCTCTGGAGATACAAATTATTCTATTGTAAAGCAGTTAAAGAGTAAGAATGCTGGTAGGTGTGATACTATTGCCTGGGTGCCTTCTGGAACTGACAGGCTGTTGCTTGTAGATCCAGGTATTTCAGACTTCAATTCCTAATCTGTATTCATTAAAACATTGAGGCAAAAGTATGTTTTTATTTAAAAGATGGTAATTTTGCCTTCTATTTTCAGTGTCTTCGAAGAGAGATTGAGGGAGAGAGAGCAGTATTTTTGGAGGAACGTTAATGATCATTAATGACCAGCCTTAAAGTAAATGAACTCATATCATGTGTGAGTTATATGACAATATGTCACACATACTTGGGAAGTCTTAATCATTTGGGGAAAAGTTAGATCCCTCCCTTGTACCTTATGCTAGTACAGATCTCAGATTAACTCACACCAAACTGTAAGTGTATTAGAAGAAAGTGTTTTGATAATGGTGCTGACTGCCCTTTGTTCCTGACTTCGTCTTAGCCTTCGTCTTACCTACAAAACAGAAAACTCACCAAATAGTACAAATTTATTTCTCACTAATGTAAAAAAATTCCAGAAGGCACTTCAGATCTGGTATTGGCCTCACTAGGTAGTAGGTACTGAGGCTCCTTCCAGACTTCCATCGCACAGTTCCAGAGCTGCTGCTCTTAGCGTGGTCCATCCAAGCAGCGGATTGCAGGGAAACTGAAAGGGTCCGTGCCCACTCTTTGAAGACACGTCCCAGAGTTCTGAGACAAGTTTGTAAGCGTGTGACAGCAAGTTCAGTTAAAATTGGGAGTTTTGTGATTAAGGATGTGACAGAATGAGTAAAACTGAGCACTAAGTTGTCCTGGTTTTAGTCTTTTACTGCTCTTGGTGTTAGGCCTTTCGAAGCCATAAAGGGAAAGAATGACTTACTCACATTTAAATACTCCAGAACACTGTAAACAGGCTCAGAAAAATGACAGTATGGGAAAGTGTTTACATATGAGCTTAAGAATTAACATATTTGGTGAAGTTAATATATTCAGTATGGAAGAGTTAATATATTCAGTACATAGTATGTTCAGTATATACAGATGAGCACTCCGATAGAAAGAAGGGCAAGTAATATGAGAAAGTAATCAACAAACAAGATAAATAAAAGACCAATGAGTATATAAAATATGTTCAATAAAATAAAACAATTGAAATTCTATTTTAATATTGGCAAAAAAATTGGTCAGATATAGTCTAATCTATTTGGGGACTATTTTGGAATTATTGTCTGCCAGGAGACATTTTTCCATGGGTCTAACATGTCTCTGCATGTTTTGGGAAAAAGTGCTGACTGCCTTTTGTTCCTGACTAGCTTTTCAAAGATGTTTCTGTAGCAACAGCATAGGAGAGATGTGTCTTCCTCTGGAGCAAGGGGCAGGTGTGCTTTATGCTCATTATTACAGACTTGGGTTCCCTAAACTCAGAGCCCCTCCTGTAATTCAGCTTCCTCAAGGAATAAATTGTCCTAGTCTGTGATGAGGAGTCTCATGCCTTCTCATAGCCTTCATGAAACAGTGGCAGGCTGCCTTATTAGCTGCAAGAAGGGTAAAATCACAGACCCTTCCTTCACTGTTCATTAACAGAATCAAAAGCTTGAAAGTAATTCCACTTTGATGAAGTTATCCAAAAATTAATCTAGGATGTGTTCGAAGGTAACATGAACCAGGTATTTGTTTGCAGCCTTGAAAATAAATGGCACCAACTTAGATTTTTCTAAAGGGTTAAGTAAATGACGGCCAGAGGACTACAGGTCACCAAAGGATATCCTAGCTCTCTGTTGGACATGGAAAGGGGCTTGTGATACGTTAAGTGAAAAGAACAAGCTAATAGAATTCCTCCCCTTCCGTCCCTCTATGACTTTGCACATCTAAGTGTGTGTGAGAGTAATAGTGATTACCTCTAGATTGTGATATATTTTATACTTTGTACACCAAATATCCTAAAATATTTTTGCCGTTAATTTAACTTGTGAACAGGGAAATATAGGGTGGTTTAAATTTGACCTTGGTCATTTGGAAGGCAAAGAACTAGATTGCATTTGTTTAACTCCTGTGATTTCTAGTTGCTGTTAACTCACATGAAACATCCTTATGGTTGTTTTCAATATGAATCTTTTTATAGAGCAGAAAGTAAAATCTCACATTATTTGTTTTTTTTCGTTTAAGCTGTATGTCCCATACTTTAATTTTAAATACAGTATTTTAAGAAGTTACTCATACTTTTACTTTCTTATCCTCTGTCTCTGATGGTTGGTTTGTTTACTTTTTTATGTTGCTTATTTTTGAATTGACTGAAAACTCTTTGTAATGTTCTTTGCTCTCAGGAGTTTGTATTCTGAGGGGCAGGTAATTGGGTTTTTTCATTAATTTCCGCTTGGAACACGTGCTGCGGATTGAACCTGGGACCTCTTGCTGCTGAGTATGGGCTCTGCCAGTCGAGCTGTACCCTTCCCCGTGGAGCTCCCAGTCCTGGGAGGCGGGCGATGTGCTGGGCTTCTCCGCTAGCAGCAAACGCTGTGGGCTTGTTCTCTTACCTCTAGTGGAATCACTGCGTGCCAGTCAATCGGAAAGGTCGTTACTGAGAACTGGTGTGCGTGGCGCTGCTGTGGGTGCTGGGAAGCGGGTGTTGTGTACTGTTTCAGTGTCTTTTGACAGGCTTTGTCTTTGGAAGGCTGTCCTCCTATCTTTTTCAGAAGTCTAACTAAATTGCATAGTCCTTAGGGAGAGAAATAGTTTTCATTTGCCACATATTCCTGTGTCTTAGTGTCTCCCTAGTTTTTTGACCCATTTTCTTAAATTAGCTGTCTGCAGCGTGTTGATGAACCAGACCTTTGCACTCCATCTTGTGTTGCAGTGTTCATGGCTCTGGTTGCTCAAACTGTAGGTAGAAAACGTCTTGCAGTTTTTCAGACAACTTCATTCTAGGCACTGTGTTTAAGTACACATTAGAATCTGAATCATGGAACTAAAAAGTAATTTCAATTGAAAGGTCTGTTTTAGATGTCTCCTTTTATTTAACTGATATTCTTGCTTGGTTAGTACAAAGAAATCAGTATACTTGAAACAAATGAGAAAGATGTAATATGAAGACTGACTCTCAGCCTTTCTAATTCTACAGCCACATCAGTGCCATTTGTGCTGTTGTCTTCATACGTGGTTAAAAAGGTTTGCTGTTTTAGATAGTTTTGGCTTGTGTAGAGGAACAAATGAGAAGTTGAAAAAAGTCCTTACACTATTGGCATGTAAAATGCTTTTTAGGTGGTGATAACTTTTACATTCAG